TACTATGATTATATGTATCAATTGCCACTGCCGAGTGGGGTCCCGACTTACAGGGACAAACCTAACATACCGCAGCTCGTCGAGCAAGCAAAAAATTCTTTGTATGACATGTTCAAGGAAACAGCGATCGCACATGGAGAGTCTCCCAGCACATTTGTTCGTAGCAGCGGCGCAAGCGGCAGCGGGTCTTCATCTTCGTACGGAGGGCAAAGCGGCAATACAAACTACGGAAACTTCAAAGTGTTTTGGGATTCATTAAATCCCTACAAAAACTCGGGCGGTCAAAGGATGCAGGGGACTGGATACTATGAGCTGGATCACTACCTTACGTCGAATTTAGCCGTTACGATTGCACGTCCACCTCAACCGCCACTCAATTTCGATGTGTTAGATTGGTGGTCAAGAATGGAAGGAATTTTTCCTATTCCATGCATTATGGCCAAGGAGATCTTTGCTGTCCCAGCATCTACAGTCGCGGTTGAGCAAGCATTCAGTGGGGACGTCGAAGACGAATACGAATATTAAAGGTATGCAGCCAAGGTATGTGTTTTAGAAGAACTACGTGGACTTTGATTCCCAAATAAAGGGATACGTAGGCACCTTATTTAACATTATTAAGTTCGAGTATAATTTTTTGGTAACAAAATTTTTCATCGGACACGATATTCGAACTTAATAACTGTTAACTAAGCTCAAGTCCATTTCATTAATAATTTTTTTCTTTACACTTAAGTTGTACTTCTCCGCCATACTCAATAAATTACAACACCGTTAACCGTTTGTCGTTTGACGTACAATTTAACAGACTCAAAAACTTATATTTTCGAAGTATATACAAACTATTTATTCAAATAAACATTAATATACATTAAAATAACAAAAAAAAGAAAAAAAAAAATAAAAACCCCGCAAACCCGCCGGGCCCGACCCGGAACCGAGTCGACCCGCCGGGTTTGCGACCCGGCGGTTAAGGGCCGGGTTTGCGACCCGGCCCTTGGTTACAGGCGGGCCGGGCCCGGTTCAACACATGGTGAACCGGCGACCCGGCGGGCCGGGCCGGATTTCGACCCGGCCCGGCAAATGGCCACGTCTAGTAGGGGTAAGTTAGGAAAAATTATAAATTTAAATTTGCCGTATAACGAAACGCGGTCAACCTTCATTGTGTTGAAATTAAGGAAGTGTGGAGTGGTTGTGATTAGAGTAAATAAGGTTAATTTAGTCAATTTATTCATTAATTAATGTCTCCTTAATATTTGTGCAATAACCTTAAATGCCTTATATTTCAAAATGGAGGAAGTAGCAACTAATATGATTTAGTAGAAGCTTTTTATTAGTCTATTTAACAATTTAATGACTCAATTTATGTGCATCAACTGTGTTGATGTCGAAAATCGGACGATCAACCGTCAAATATAAGTCGAATCTATGTATGAAAATGAAGAACAAAATCAATGAGAATGGAGTTTTATTTCCTTTTAGAGAGAAAATTTTTTCTCTCTCTTTGTTGATGGGGAAGAAAAATAAATGAGGAGAAGTCATTCAACCACCCCTTTTCTCTCCTCATTTGTACATATATGTACCCCCTTTTTTTTTTTGAGTTGTTGGGTATCATGAAGAAAAATGAATGGCCTCCCCTCTTTTGCTAAGGCCCTTTATATTTATATGGTCCTTTTTTTTACAAGTGGGGGAATAAATAAATAAAAATGGTACATCATTATTTAATGTGAGATATTCATCGTGGGGCCCGCTTATGACTTCTGACGGCTTCGATTGGCGTCTATCTGAAGCAGCTTCTGATTTGATCGGTATCGGGAACCTGTTTGTATATTTATTTATTTCGTATTTTCGACTCCTCAGTTATTGGGTCGTCCTTTATTATTTTATTTATTATTTAATTAATCAGGGACAAATTGAGTATCAACAAACTGGTAACCATCTTCCAACAAACAAGAAAATTATTTTACAATAATTATATTGAGATACTTTTATAACACATTGCATGAAAGTTCGATCCATACAAGTCTATATTAATCAACCGGTATAAAACTCGATGAAAACACTATTGTTATCGTTGGCCACGAATTTAGTCAGATTGCACGAATTACAAAACCGGATGAGGGTACTATTGTCATCAATAAACACTAATTTAACTACATTGCATGAGTAGCATTGTAGCACTTAAATTTGTTAATTCTTCTATAACTAATTTTAATTGAAATATAATTTTCCAAAATACTATACTAGTCGGCAAATGAATTTAACCATCTTCAATCCATTCTTATTCATTAAAATTGGTTAATTTGACATATCATTGTCATAGCTTCCTTGACCAATCGTATCTGCCTTCAATATTTATTTTTTTCCTCACATTTTCCTTAAAATATGACCTGATTGCTTAATTTAAAAACATTATCAACTACGTACTGTTGATAATATTCCAAAGGAATAATCAAACTGTGCCATATTAAGAATTCTTAAGAAAAAAAAAAAATGGAAAGTTTGATTGAGTCTCGAGTCGCAATCCTCACTTTTTTGCGTAAATTAGTTATATAATTTTTACCAGATATAATTGTAATTAGCGAGCTGTTTTAGCACGGTGTTTTGTGTCCGTAGTCAAAACAATTGAAAGGCACTTATAAATTAATTTTAATTCGTTTACGAGACGCCACATGTAGAGCTACGTATGAAAAGAATAATATAGAGAATCGAAGATTCGAAGTAACTCTTTAGAAATTGAATTGACAATTCTAAAGACAAATTTGCCATCGTGTTGGGACCCGTAATTACAGTATACCATTGTTGTTATCTATCATTATATTAAAAGATTAACCATTTAATACTTTTAGCAAGTTTTTCCCGTCAAATACATTTAATGTCTCCTAAAAATAGAGCAACATTAGATGTTGCCCTGCAGTTGTTAATTTAGTTTGGAGAAAATCGTGGCAACTAAAACAAACAACATTAATTACGACTGATTTAATATTTAAATGGTAAACAAATATTATTTTTTTATGACTGATTTAAATTTACGTATGTTTAGAAATAAAAAACTACTTTTGTAATTTCAACAAATTTGTACTCTTTAATGTACAACTGATTTAAAATTAAGAATTTACTTTTGTATTTTCACAAAAAATATGGCTGGATTAATAATAAAACATTAATTTGTTAAACCATATTTTGCACTCATAAATACGAATTCTCATCAAATTCAAGATTTAAAATTGTGAAGAATGTATATAGATGTGGACTGATTGAAGATATATGATTCCTTAAATTAAGGAATTTTTTCCGGTAAAAAAAAAAATATAAACTTTAAATATAGATTTTATTAGTAGTGTATACCAAATAATATTGTTACATTTAAAATTCCTATGAAGAAGAATTCTATTAATTTTCAAATTTAACATCTCATAAAAATAATATAATACACTTTTACATTCTATGAAACAATATTTAAAACCCACCGTTCAACATGCATAAAATGTAAAATTACCTAAATGAATCATTTTAACTTTCTAAAATCAGTATACAATTTGCTCGGTATGTACTAATAGTCTAATAGTTAAGAGTTAATATTTGCTATGACATCTATTGGTTGGAAAGAATTCCATTTTGTATGGAATTCGAAATGAAAAAACATATTCTGAAAATCAAATCTGGTTTAGAGATCGATTTCTTAATGGCCTTAAATTATGCAAATATAATGTTTCAGTTTTTTGGATTCTTTTTTATGATCTCAGTCTTTGCATTATATGAAATCTATACTTATATAAAAAGTCATCCTATTTACTAGAAATAGTAGGCAGAAAAGTCAAAGGTAATTAATGTTTGCTGGAAATAGAATGATATTAATTACAGATTTGTTTTGGTATTTATAGGCTTGACATTAAAGATTTGTTATGGGATAAAAATCAGAACCGATTTTTTTACCTTTACCGGAAAAGTCAAAAGTAAGTATACATTTGTTTTATCCCATAGCATAGGTTTAGTTAAGAAAATCCCATCAAATCAGTTTTATATGTCAAGCCTATGAATAAAGATTTAATCGGTCAAAATTAAATCCTTATTTTACGTCACCCATAAATAAAGTAGATGTCAAGCCTAAATTAAAGAGTTTAGTTGTCCATATAGTTATTGATTTACGTAAATACATCTAATGTTTAAAGTTTGTGTAGATTGAAAATTCCTTCTTATCTTTTTACAAAAAAATCTTATTATTATTGTATGGAAAATCAAACTCATAATGTTGTGTACAATGTGGTCTTTAATAATATATGATTGTTTGTTTGTCGAATACTATCTTATTGTATAATTTTCCTGCGTATTATAAAACTTTTATTGAATATTGCATCTTATAATATAGTATTCCTCAAATAAATATATCCCGTGCCTCGCACGGGTCACGTACTATATATATCCCGTACATTTTTCTGTATTCATGTATATAATTATAAGTCTGGATAAATAGCCTTAAATTTGTGCACCCCGTGCATCGGACGGGCTCTGTACTAGTTTAATTAAGTGATTGAAAAATTAACATATACAGTAATAGAAATTAATTCCATGAAAAAAAAATACCTTGATCAATTATGCTGGAATACTAATTCCCATGTTGGCTGCTGTTTAGGGAAGTATAGATAGCCATACTTCATTATCAAAAAAATATGTTTATTTTTATATTACAATAACGAAAAATAATATAAGTAAAAGTATGCCGTTTTATTGCATAAATATTATTTTTGTTCAATAAAATGACTAAACCCGTCTAATTGTGTAGTCATCCCACAATAGAATTTGTGGTTCCCGCAAGAATAGTGGATGGACATTTATGCTTCTTTTACACTTTATATATGCTAATATGGTAGATATAGTTTTTACAGTTTGAA